CCGTTAACTCAGTGACAACCGTCTGTCAATATTATGGATTTTATGGATGGCTGCAGTTCTGGGTTCGATTCTGGGCCTGATGTCTGTTTGCAGTGTGCATGTTCTCCCTGAGCATGTGTGGGTTCTCTCTGGGTACTCCGGCTTCCTCCCACAGTCCAGAAACATGACAGGGAATTTCTCATGAGGTGAAGGACATGGTGGTTCTTTACCACAGCGCTCAACTTCTTGCAGATCATCAGTTATGTTGGAATGTTGACTTTCTGGATCAAAACTCTCCATGTCTTTGTCTGAGGATTCAGTCTGTTGAGCTGTGTTCTCCTCTGGTGGACCCAACAGGAAGTTGGTTTAGTTCATAACATTGTGAAGAATGTTGAGCTAAGCTTTGATGCCACATGGGAGACTGGTTCTCACCTGAAGGAGTTTTCCAAGCTGTGACCTCTGGTGCTTGGGGCCAGTGACTCTCCTCACTTCTTACGCGTGGCAGAGAAGCATCTGGATGCTTTCCATCCCACCTGGCTCTATCAAGTCATCTATCTGGTCACAGACTTTATTCTCATAATTTCACGACGTTATTCTCGAAATAGAAGAAATAAAACCCTCTAGCCGGGCCCTAATACTCTGTCGTACAACAGTTGGCCGTTATACATGACAGGAGAAGAACACCCCAGAAGCTTTGCTTGCAGATTCACAAGCAAATGTTGCTGAGTTAGTTAACCCTGTGAAAACATTGCTTCTTAGGTTCATTTTCACTTCAATTTCAGATAACTTGCCTTGATTAGCGACAGTAAGGCGCATAAGACGGAGAATGTATCACTCAGAAAATCGGAAGTTATAACTCCAAATATATTTTGCTTTGGTTAGATAGTTGAATCGTCTCCATAGGCTCAGTGAGCTTCCTGTAGAGGAAGCATCTGTTTCATCTGTGGGGGGGGGGGCACAGTGTGGCCCTGCTGTGAGTTCTGCACATTATATGTCAACATCTGACAATAGAATCTATCATATGTGTAATGATGGTGCAAATAGAGCTGAACCATCTAGAAAAAAGGCTTATTGATAAAATAGAAATCCTATTAATCAATATGAATAATGGTCAGAAAATCCAGAGCATACGATAGTAGCCATGAGCATTTAATGCTGCTGCTTAGTGCTAAAATAAATAGATTTAAATGCAACCTTTCAACCAACATTTTACCAAAACTGTGATTCTTAAAAAAGAAGAAGTGCTTTGAACTTTGTGACGGCTGACCGAGCTTTGCTGGGTCCTCGTCTGT